TTCAACTCCCAGAATTCCCCAGCCAGCAAGGAGTTGAAGTCCACACATCTTCAAGCTGCCAAGGTTGAGAAACACTGGCTTACAAAATCCAATACGCCGTGAAAACTGTTAAAAACATAAAACAAAATGAAACAGCCTTGGACTGAAAGCCACCACCACAATATAAACATGATGGGTCCCCACAAACACATGAACCCCATGCCTGGGAGCAAAACCGGGTCTTTTCCGGACCCCAGGAGAGTGGGCACCATTCATATCTCTGCATACAGGCAATTCTTGTTATTTGTGGTAGTTACATTTTGTGAAAATGCCGCAAATACTGAATGAGCCAACGCCGAAATCTCAGCCGGGAACATGTGCGCTGGGCGATTCCAATATTTTGCCGCTCTGCGTGTCCACAAATACAGTTCCGCGCGTACTGATTTTGGGGTGACAAAAACATGTCCGCGAATGAGCGAATTTGCAATGAGGACTGCCTGTGTCTTGAGGAGAGATGAAATAGAAAGAGAGAGAGACAAAGAGAGAAACTGGCCTTAACTTCTTTTAGGCATGGAGACTGCCTTCACCAGGGGTATTTGAAGGCTATGGTCAATAACGTCAAGATGGTGGCCACAACAGTCCAATTGAAGCTACAGGTAGTCCTCGTTTAGTGACCGTTTCCAGTTACGACTAATGAAAAACTAATGTTACGACCGATCCTCGCGTTTATGACCTTTGCAGGGTGGCTGGGGAATTCTGGGAGTTGAAGTCCATACATCTTAAAGTTGTTGAGACTGAGAAACACTGCTGCAAAGCAAAGGAAAGCTGAAAGAAGATCATAAGCAGAGTTGTGCTTTCACTTATCAACCACTTTGCTTAATGACTGAGTGGCCGGTCTCAATTGTCACTAAACAAGGACTGGTTAAATGAGATAAAGATCCTGGGGGTGGCTGGTGCCCTGATGATGCTCCCCGAGCTACTCCATCATTTCTTGGAATTTATTATTTAAGACTGTTTTTACCTTGTATTTTAATTGATTTTATCTTTTCCGTAAACCACCCAGAGTCGCTTTTTAACAAGATGGGCAGTGACAAATTTGATATATAAATAAATAAAAATAAATAAATAAATCTTAAAGTTGCTGAGATTGAGAAACACTGCTGTAAAGCAAAGGAAAGCTGAAAGAAATTCATAAGCAGTTTTGGTTCAATTAGCGACTGCTTTGCTTAATGACCAAGTGGCCGGTCCCAATTGCGATTGCTAAACAAGGACTGCTTGTACTCCTATTTTTTTAAACATGTCAGGCATGTGATGTACATAAAAACCAGGTGAAGTTTCGATTGCATCATTTGGGCACCATCTTGACTTTGGGTTTTGACTTTGTTGATCACACCCTTAACTAACAAGAGGCCAGATGAGACACAAACACAGCTCGGCAAGACCCTTCTCCCCACCTCTCTCACCATTTGCCCTATGGTCAAAACACTGAGAGGTACACAAACTGGAAGCCATCTCCAGCATCAGGAAAGTCCCTTGTAGTAAAATATTGTCATCCATCCAAGGAGCATCTTGGAGGCCATTAAGAGACAAAGCCACAAAACGGCGCTGCCAAGGTCCCATCAGGCTCGGCGTAAGTTGTAGTTCTTCTTCTACGCCCCCAAAATGGGGGTGATCATCACAGCCTCCAAGGTGGTGGTGGAGCATTTCGCCTGCTCAAAACACTCGCGTTGCAGGAGCCAAGCTGACGAGGAGAACATCAGGTATCCAGCTTCAAACCACAATTTTATGATTCGTATTCCCATTTGCTAAGGGAAAAAGTCACTGTCGATTTGAATGGACAATTGCCTGAGAAGAGCGCAAGCTGAACTTTGTCGGGTGGAGTCTGCTGGGTACCCCCCACTCCCGGGATGGTGCCGTAGGCTGCTCATTGGTTGTAGGAGAGGAATTCAATTAATCTCGCAGGGATGTGGAGGTGGGCAATTTTCTCCAGGGCTTTTGGGCCGAGGGCTTGGCGCAGGCTGAGACGGCAAAGTTGAGATAACCGCAGCGGAGTTCCTGGCAGGGTGGGGAAAAACCAAGAGGACTGGTTAAATGAGAGATGTATGGACTTCAGCTCCCAATTCTGGAGGTTGAAGTCCACACATCTTAAAGTTGTTGAGACCGAGAACACTGCTGCAAAGCAAAGGAAAGCTGAAAGAAGATCATAAGCAGAGTTGTGCTTTCACTTATCAACCGCTTTGCTTAATGACTGAGTGGCTGGTCTCAATTGTGGTCACTAAACAAGGACTGGTTAAATGAGATAAAATTGCAAATACGCACCTGTCTACTCACTTATATACCAAGCAGAGATTGGCAAAATGGTGCTCTGGGCAGTAGGCTGTGCATCAGCCAAGCTCTTCTACCACTCCCCACCCCAGTTTAATTTTAAAATGACCCAAATCTTGCCAGATGACCAAAGCTTGTAAGATTTCTCTGGCCCTTTAATGAGGCCAATGTTGGATGGACAGCCTCGTGAAACTTGGGCTCTCCTTCAGAAGAGAAGGACAAAACCGTAAGACGTGACGATGTTGTAAGATCACAGAGGGTCGTTGGTGCATTTGGGGTTTGAAGCTCCCAGCTGTGGTCTCTCTCTCTCTCTCTCTCTCTCTCTCACACACACACACACACACACACACTTTAAATATTGTGGGGCTTCAGCAGCTCCAAAAGACCACAGAGAAGAATGGATGCACAATCGGGATGTGAAAAACAGGTGTCCTTCCATGAGTCCAACAATATGTTCATTTTAATTCTCTCTCATCTCCTATCCTGAAGGAACTAAGAGAAAGAAGTAAAAGGGGGTACAACTGGGAAACACCGTGGGCAGCCCAGAAAAATGAAAGTTCCAAGAAATGGAGCTTCATACTGATCTGGCAAACAGCACAGGCCCTCCAAACGCGAAGCACCTTTGCCCGCTTTGGACAGGAATGCTGCACACCTGTACGATACATGAAGCCTGCTTTTCAGCGGTGAGCTTTTGCAAGGACTCAACAGGAGCCTTTCCTTTGCACAGATCTGGGATGTATTTCTGTGCTGATAGAAGCAACTGGTAAATTACTGGCTGTGATTATTGGGTTTCTGAACTGTCACTCAAAGCACAGGAATGCAGGGGACCTCTTCCCAGTTTGTACACTGGGGGGGATGGAGAGGAGAGGGGTTTTGGGGTATGGATGGAAGGATGGGTCTCAGGGAAGCACCAGATCGGGATCCATCCATCCCAGTTTTATGAATACACTTTAGGCATCGAAGTAGGCAGAGTTTGTGTAGGGTTTGTAGTAGAGCCAGTGTGATCTAGTGGTGAAGGCACCAGGCTAGAAACTGGGAGGGTGTGAGTTCTAGGCCTCCCTTGAGCAGGAAAGCCGGCTGGATGGCTTTGGGCCAGTCCCTCTCTCTCAGCCCTAGGAAGGAGGAGGCCAGGGCAAACCACTTCTGAAAAAAAAAAGCCTTGCCAAGAAAACTGCAGAGACTTGTCCAGGCGGTCTCTGAGAATTGGACATGATTGAACGGGGGGGAAAAAGGCAGAGTTAGCAGGCCGTAGCTATGCTGTAACGTTAAGAAATCTCATTTATAATATATTTTAATGTTTAGTAAAAGCTAACTCAACTCTTTGCGTCGCTGTTAATAAGATGACTGTACTGTTATGGATCATCCTCACCTATGTCAGCTTTCCCAGGTGGGCCAGACAGGAAAGACAATCAGATGAGCTAATTCTACTTTATTGTAAGGCTACATGAACAGTATCTTGCAAGTCTGAAAGTACAATTCTCCCGCTGTCTCCTTTACAGCCTGGGAAGCTAGGGAGGGTCCCTTCTGAGCCTCTTGCTCTTCCCATCAGGTAGCTGCAAGCTGTGCCCTCTCTCATCTGACCACTCCCTAGGCAGCGTCTCTTTGCCCCGCCTCTTTGCCCCGTCTTTCTCACATACTATTACAATCTGGTTATGTTAACTAATCAACATAAAGGAACAGCAGAGAAAAACAAATCAATCTGCAAACCAGGAATGGGTTTGGTGGTGGCATCAACACCAACAGATCCTCAGGGATCTCTCTGGATTAATGGGATGATACTTCCCTTAAGTAGAACAGAAAGATAATAGGAAAAGGAGCCCCACCACAGAGAGGATACCCAACACTGTCCCAATGAAGAAAACTCAACAGACCACCTTGATTCTCTTTGGTATAAGAGGGGCCGGAGGGAAGCTCTGGCAGGCTTTCAAGATTCTGTTATTATACCCTATAACAAAAAAGTAGCATTCCTGGAATTCTTGAGCGGTCTGTTTCCTGACCTGGCCTTACGCATGAGGAAAGGTGCCCCTGGCATGAGACAGGCCAAAGACAGACAGACATTTTACAGGCAGATTTGACTCACTTTCATAATACGCAAAGCACTCAGCTGTTAAGCTGTTCTTCCGGCTGTAATCAGAGGGCTTCTTCCCCTGGTTATCCCGGGCGTAAACATTTCCTCCAAATTCAATCAGCATCTCCACCAGGTCGGCATTTCGCACTTTGGCGGCGTGATGGAGGGCCGTCTCGTGAAGTTTCGCCGCATTCACGTTGGCTCCTGGACGTTGGAATGGAAAGAGAGGGTCAGAGATCAAGGAGGAGGTGGATTCACTGATTAGGTGTCATCGACTCCATTAGCGGCCACATACATAGATGTTCTCCAAGATAACCTGTCCCCAACCTGGTCCTTCAGGTCTCCCAACTGTGACATCTCAAGCCAACCTCTTTCTTGCTCTTTTTAAAATAATGCTTTGAAGCTTTATTTAAGGAAGGCTTGCTCAGTAGACTAATTACTCATTAGACCAGTGTTTCTCCCCCTTGGCAACGTTAAGATGTGTGGACTGCAACTCCCAGAATTCCCCAGCCAGAATTCTGGGAGTTGAAGTCCACACGCTTTAAAGTTGCCAAGGGGGAGAAACACTGAATTAGACTAATGCAGGCGTGAGAGGACCTTTTGCACCAAGAGGCTGCATTTGAAGATTAGGCTCAGGGAGGGGGTACTCAAACTGGGTTGCCTGGTCTTAATCCAGCACCTCCACCTCCCGCCACACCTTGCTGGCCCTGGACCTTCGCACCTGCATTCAGCAATAACTTCACGCAATCCAGGTGTTCTCGTGCACATGCAACGTGCAAAGGAGTTCCAAAGTGGCAGTCATGGGCCTCTAGGTTCGCACCAACCTTGATCAGAAGACGGACACACTCGGCGCTGCCTTAGAAAAGAGACAAATCAGTGAAGAACATTCATAGGACCACCTCATACGGAGCTCCTGAACACTTCCTCACCACCTGCCATTGGAGAATACCTTGTGCAGATCACCCTCTCATTCCAAAGAGTGCCGGCTAAAGCTGCTTATAAGCCAACCTCCAGGAAATTTGCTCCGTCCAATTGTTCACTTTGGGGGACAGATTTCTGCTCTGGAGTTGTCTTCCTCCCTCAAACTTTCCAAAAAAATCTACTGAATGGGATTGTTTAGGTTAGGTTGAACCTCCTCCATCTGCTGCTCGAGCTGGCCAAGTTGAAAGATCTGTCCAAGAAGTGCTAAAAGGGATGGAGAAAAGTCCTACGTTCCTGTGAGTGCTCGGCTGTTTCAATTATTAAAGAAAATAAAGGACAGCGTTGCCCTTGATTGGGGATAAGGAGGAAGGGTCAACCATAATTGGATTCCATCAGGGCGCTGCGTTTCAGCTGCCCCAAATCTGCTGGGACAAAACCCCCTGAATTCACCTCTTACCAGATTCCAAGCAAAATGTTAAAATTTTATACTGTGCCTGGAGGAGCCAGCCCAGAATATAAGGATCCAACCTGCTGTTTAGTGCAGGTATTCTTACAAATACCCAGGTGTTTCGAAGGCCGTAGCAAAATTTTGATGTATAGCCTTAGCTTATAGAAACTGTTTGGTGCCTAATGGCAGAAAATGATAAACTGATTTGCTTATTAAAAGAAAACTCAAATAATTATTACCTTAAAGAATGGAAACCATTGATGGAC